GTAGAGGGCCATGGTTATCAAATGCAATTCGCAGAGGGAAAGAGTTCAAGAACATTCACAAGTTAAACGAGTTGAAGGTAAACATTTCAGTGATGATGATTAAAGATAGAGGTAAATAGGCTTGAATTGTAAACACTAAAGTAAATGATGAAATTCATTTACAACAATAATCAGTCATTGACTAATTAGTTTTATTATTGCTTGATAGATTTCTGTTTAAAATGACACCGTTAAATGTTGCTAATGTAATAAATATGCTAGCAAAAACCTTTTAAATTGTAAATATAACACCGACACCTACAATACCTTTGGAAATCGAAGTCCATAATGAAATTGTTAATATTTTAAATAGTTTTCAAAATACTCGTTCGGTATTGTTATTGGAACATCATTAACGTGATTTTAACGATCCAACAGGACCACATGAACCACAAATTGTAGAATATATTGCGGATGTAGAAATAGAAGAAGATAATTTTGAACCTGAAAAATGCATGGTTGATAATGAAGGAGGGATCACGGTCGATTTCAGTTATAAAAGAAAGCTGCAGAGTTTTGGAAAATCGAAAAAAAGGCCAGTCTACCTTTATCTAGTGTACAGTCACGTTTTCGCAAGGTTAAATCTATACACCAGCTATAATACAAGTGGGAGACGAGTGTAAAGAGAGGTGGAACAAATACAGATAAACTTGCATTTATTACGCAATATATGTTCAGCAAAAGTTTGAAGAAGTTTGTGATAGAAGGTTTGTCATTCATGACATGAATTTAAGATTTTGGGCCTTACAGGCAAAAGATCAAGTGGACCTACCCGAATTTTTTATTTAAACGAATAAGTTTTAAATCTGATCTCAGATTCGTAATCAGTAATTTTAAAAATTCCTATATTCTGCATTAAATTTTACTTTTTATACATTATTATTTTATTTATACATATGAGGATAAAAAAATAAAAGGATAGTAACTGTCTTTAAAATGGCTTTAAGATATGGCCGATATGGATAAGATATTATATTTTTGTAGTTCCACATTTGTGACAAAGAAAGAAATCGTGTTCTCACTTAAATAAGTTTATTGTTAGTTGCAACGATTCAGTTAGATATATAATAAATCACTTTTAATCGATCATAGAGAATTTTGATACAATGGATGATAATATAGCATACACAGTACTATTTACAAATTTTGTATTAGATAAATATATATTATATATTAATATATTTAATCACAAAAAGTATCTCTTTATCTTACAATTAGACTATTATTTCTACATTATATGTATAACACTAACAATGTTAAATTATAATATCTGAGATTATATTAGATAAGATAAAAACAACGAAAGAAACGCAGTTAAAATCTATTTATTATTTACTTGTTTCACTTATTTACATAATAAATTGCTTAAGCAAGTACATATCTGTGTAATCACATGCCGCACATATTATATTATTTAATTATTTGAAATAAAATTAATATTATTTAATTAAAATTAGTTGCATGTTTCATATATTATTTCTTGTTAGGTGTTACTTTTTATTTATATTTTAGCAAAAATATTTTACTAAAATTTTTTATGTGTTTTTAATGTTACAAATAGCCATTAGTCTGTCACGTTATAGAATACATGTAAATCTTCTTTAACGCTTTTATTCTGCTATTATTTTGTATGCTATTATTTGGTTTCTTCTGAAAAGTATTCACATCAATTTTCTATATCTTTTTATTAAAACAATGTGTAATATTATGTTTAATTGCTGGAGGCATCGAAAGTTGGTCTCAAGTCGAACGATCCACGAAAATATCGCTAACAGCACATCATTTAAAACTTATAAAGTATAGTACTCAAATAATTAATAAGCGTTACAATATATATCAGGTCCTTATTTAAAATTTTCAATAAATTGCAAATGAATATCACACAAGAGAACAGAAATAATAATTAACACACTGACCTGTAAGTTACTCGCTTTGGATTTAAAACGGCACTTATTTCACTTAAATGTTCACTTTACTGCGTCGTAAAGCCAACTGAGAATAAAATGACGAGTCTACGACGTCTATGCATAATTTCAATCTCACATAACGACCATCATGAAACCTTAGTCATCATCATTTATACCGGACTTGCTGATTTAATTTGACCTTGAATAACTGAGAGACTTGTAATATGAAACTCATCCTGATTTATCTTTCAATGAAGCAAACATTAACCTAATCGAGATAACAGAGCAATGATAAGATGACAGTCTGGTACGAATATGAAAGTACTGTAAATGCGATTAGTAGCTGAATATGCCTTCATCGGCCGATGAGAAAAAGGCTTCATTAAGAAGATAAAGTTAAGGAAAATTATAATAATAGATTGTATATACAGTGCATAATAAATTGCAATTGCGGAATATAAAACAGATCTGTCCAATACTTTTCTCGTGAGCTAAAGGCTTCTACTTCTCTGTTGTCTCATTGAGTGAAATGGAGAAAAAACGACGAATAGCTTTAGATCCTTTACTCAGTAATTAACAAAATGACGAAGAGATGGAAGCCTTCAATTCTCTAACAAATTAAGTGTAAAATAAGATATAACATTTGGCAAGATAGATTCGAAACATATGTTGCATATAAAATTAATTAAATTCTGAAGAATTTTAAAATTAATTAATTTGTCATCTTCCATAATGATATTGCAAAGCGTTTATCATACAATAAGATCATTTAAATTTAAAGTAAACGTTTATCTTATTTAAACAAAGAAAAATATACGCCAAATACATAAAATACATAAAAATATTGCTTATTACATTACATTACATTATTATTACATTCTTTCTAAAACTAAGAACAATTTTTTAAGAAACGATTTAAATATACAATTATTCAAAAATTAATTGATCAAAAATAGACATAAAATCAATAAAATTAATCAAGTATTTCATTACTAAAAAAAAGTAGTTGATCACTTTAGTCACTTTTAATTATTTTTAGTCACGTTTTATGTGACTTAAAATTTTTACGTAAAATAATAATAAATACGTTAAACTTTTGCAGCATATACAGGGTGTCTCGTACTCAATGGTACAGCGCTTGTGGGCAGGTAGTATGGACCAAACTGAACAAAAAAGTCCTGTACCATTTTGCGATCTTCACAATAGTTATATATTACGTCTTAACTCTTAAGTTCTATTTCGTCTGAAGAAATTTGATCTAACATTGCGGTTCAAAGTATCATCATAATGCATAAGTCGGAAGTAAACTGTATTTAATGGCAATTTGAAATAATTACATAATTTATTTAATCGACCATCACAAGTAGGTCCTGTAAATTTTATTTTTCTCGTATTTAACATAGCTGTAATCGAATCTGTTACAATTCCAATTCAAATTCTCGATAATATATTAGAGTTATCACTTTGTTGTCGCACATTAATTTGTAATTTATCATTAATTAAAGACCATAAAGATTGGCTAAAAAAAGGTGGTTTTTGCACGTTTTTGGAATCCTCGATTTTGGGACTGAACTCTGTGCCAAATGGTATACTCTATAGTCGATCAGTGTAATAAACTTTGATTCCAACCCTCCCCCCCCTCCAATTTTGATAACAATTGACACTTCAACTTGAAACTTCTGTGATTAATGTCTCATTATAGGGTATCATATTTGGCACACAGTTCAGTCCCAAAATCGATGGCGCAAAAAACGGGCGATTTTTAGGATCAGGACTCATCTTTATCGAGTCTATTCCTCCAACATATTTTTCAATTTTTGTTACTGATAACTCAATAAATATAGTGTCTCCTTATGCACGGGAAGTTGCAAAAGATCTCTAAAAAGAAGTATACGTTTATGTTTTTTACCGAATCATTCATTATCCACTTCGTCAGTACATAACACGATATTACGCGATCTAGATCATCACTCTTTAATTATCACTCTTTTTCACTTTTTTTATGTATGCTTGGTGTTACGCCCCTATCGCATCGCTTGATTAAATATTTTTAACCTAATAATATAAATACAATTTGACTCGTAATCAGGGCTGGGCAAAATACACCATTAAAGTATTTAAAATACAAAATACAAAATACTAGGAATCTTAGTATTTGAATTACAAAATATAAAATACTTTCAATCTTTTGATTTGAAA